CAGAGATCAGTTAGGAGGCTATTGCAATAATCCAGGCAAGAGGCAGACGAAGGTCTGGTGGTCGTTATGTACGTTGTTGTTTGTCCTTCACTTCTGAAGAGATGCAATGACATCATGACTGATGTCTTGACTCGAGTGAATTGTATTTAAGTGAGGCAGAGTTGCACAAAGTAATCAGCCTCATTCTCTCTTCCAGAGTCACTGAAGTCCAGTGGCAAGACAAAAGTCAAGATGAGCGGAGATGGCCTGGGATGCAGTGGATGACCTTAGCATCTTCAATGTATAACCAAGCTCTAAGCACTCAACAGTACCTGCTTCAGCCACTTTCATGGCCATTGGAACAAATTGTTCTCATCTAACCATTCTGCTGGGGAAGCCTTCACATGCTTGGGGTAGACCTCCTGTAACTCACTGACAGGTTTGAAGCTTGTTGGTTACCCTCAACCTGGCTTAGCCCATCTGCCGGCAGTGGGGCATGGTGCCATACGTGCTACAGCTTCTTGCAGCCCCAGCTGAGAGTTGACTTAAAGGTGGACACTGAAGGTGGATAAGCCACCCTCACACTGGAGATGCTGGTCCTCCTGGGACACCTTATACACCTCAGACATGTAAGTAGAGAGAAGAGAACAGATACAAGAGGAAATGTGAAGGTAGAACTGACAATTCAGTCAATAAATATTTATTAAGCACCTACTATGTGCTAGCCACTTTGTTAAGTGCTGGGGACACAAGGAAAGGCCAGAGACAGTCCCTGCTCTTAAGGAGTTAAAAGTCTAATCAGGGAGATGCCAGCAAACGAGAAAAATATGGGACAAATTGGGAATAGTCAAAAGAAGGAAGGTGCTAGAATGGAGGCGGATCAGGAAACGTTCCCTTCTGGGAAAACAGAAAATTGACAAGCCTTGGCACTGCCTTAGGAAGCCCAGGATGCAGTAGAGCCATTTCCATCATATGCAACTTAACAGATGGGAAAGTTTAAGCATAGACAGCAGCTATGACAACAATGTGTAGTACAGTGGAAAGAGAATTCATTGTAGAATCAGAGAACTGGATTCAGATCCCGCCTCTGAAACCGTCTGTATAATCCTGGGCAAGTCACTTCACTTCCCTGGGACTCAGTTTCCCCATATGTAAAATGAGGAGTTGGACTGGATTAGATTGTAATCTCCTTGAGGACAGGAGCTGTCTTTTGACTCTTTTTGTATCCCCAGCACTTAGCACAGTGCCTGGCACATAGCAGGCACTTAATAAATGCTTATTGACTGACTGTCTGGTCTCTGAGGTCCCTTGTGTGTCAGTTCTGCCCTGCTAGAACACAAATCAACCTGGGGTTATACAACATCCGGGAGCTACAGTTTTGGAACAACTCACTTGGCTATTGCCATTTCGCTAGCCAGGATAGCCCTTGTTAGCCTTTTGTATATGTGGTTCACACTTACCCAGATGACTTTCAGCTCTGCTCCAGTGACCGGGGCCCCTGTTGTTCACCAGGACCCACGTAGGATGGCCACAGAGGCCCCCAAAGAGACATTGAGAGTCAAGTAGCTAGGGCAGGAGTGGGGAACCTGTGGAACACTTGAGGACCTAGAGGGCCACAAGTTCCCCACCCCTGGGCTAGAGGGGTTAAGAATCACCCTGTAATAAAAACGTGAACACTGCTATACTTTTATTACCATCAGTTTCATCACCATTGGCATCTTCTCCCATATTCCCATCAGCGGCTGGCAGGAAAAGACCTGAAGAGGGCACACCCTTGCCCGTCTGCCTCTGGGCACCATTTTCTTAGCAAACTGGTGCCACCCCATATTCAAAGCCAGCAAAGAGAAAAGCAAAAAGCAGGTGCTGACTCCCTGTCTTCTCCCACTCCTATTTATTTGACTGTCTCTCCTTGTTCAGGCCATCTCATTATTTCTAATCTGTGCAGCTTGCTGCTTTCAATGTTTCATCTCCCCCTCTCCTGTCTGCAATGTGTCAATCAAGGGATGAGATGAGCCAGTCCAGCTTCACATCCTCAGCATCTCTGCCCCAGGACATGACCAAATGTTGACTATACCCTTGCAACAAGGTGGAGGGCCCATGTTTCTCTTTTTCACATTCTCCTTGTCGGAGGTGTGTGCTGAAAGGAGATTGGAGGGTGTCACTCCCCTCTGTCTGCTTCTGTCAGGGCACCCACAAGTTCGGGTGGTCCTGAGGATCTAGGAGCCATAAGAAATATTTCTCTTTTTAAAAAATTTCATGAGTTGTTGCCAATCTTGCCTTTTCTGGAGCTAATTTAGACTCCAGAATCAAGCAGTGTGTCTTGAGTCAAGAAGGTTTCTAGCAAAGGAAGGCTCTGGGATGGGTAGAGGACCCCAACTGTCATTCTCCTATTGTGGGAGAGGGGAGGGATAGGGATGGTATCTTTGATCTGTTGATATAGGGCAGGGGTAGGGAACCTGTGACCTCGAGGTCATACGTGGCCCTCTAAGTCCTCAAATGTGGCCCCTTGACTGAATCCAAACTTCACAGAATAAATCTTTTTTTTTTTTAAGGCAATTGGGGTTAAGTGACTTGCCCAGGGTCACACAGCTAATAAGTGTCAAGTGTTTGGTCTGAGGTCGCATTTGAACTCAGGTCCTCCTAACTTCAGGGCCGGTGCTCTATCTGCTGCACCACCTAGCTGCCCCTATTATCTTCCTTTTTTGGAGGGGTTAAGTGACTTGCCCAGGGTCACACAGCTAGTAAGTGTTATGTGTCTGAGGCCGGATTTGAACTTAGGTCCTCCTGAATCCAGGGCCAGTGCTCTATCTGCTGCACCACCTAGCTGCCCTGTAAATCTTCTTAATAAAAGGATTTGTTCTATAAAACTTGGACTCAGTCAAAAGGCTGCACCCAAGGACCTAGAAGGCCATGTATGACTTGGAGGCCACAGGTTCCCCACCCCCTGGTATAGGGTGTTCTCAGATAAGGAAAATCCTACCAACTCAAGTGGACATCTCTGCAAATTATAGCCTTTGAAGTGCCTGGGGTACTGAGGAGAAATGTGACTTGCCCAAGATAACAGTATTGGTTATGTGTCTGAGGTGAGTTTTGAACCCAAGCCTTCATGACTCTGATTCAATCTCTCTCTCTGATGGGACACTCTACCTCTTGTTTAGGGGTGGTGGTAGTACATGGAAAAGAGGGGTGTGGGGCAGCTAGGTGGCGCAGTGGATAGAGCACCGGCCCTGAAGTCAGGAGGACCTGAGTTCAAATCCAGACTCAGACCAAACACTTGACACTTACTAGCTGTGTGACCCTGGGCAAGTCACTTAACCCCAATTGCCTAACAAAGAAAAAAGAAAAGAGGGGTGTGCACAACAGTTCTAAATTTTGGAAACCTGAACAACAGAAAATTTTGTCTATGATGGGATTGAAATCAGAACAAAGGAAGCTCTCCTTTGGGGTTGAAGAAGGGTAAGTGAGGAAACACCTCATGGGGTCATGGTTCCACCAGTGGAAGGGATATCAGAGACCATCTAGTCCACCTCCCCCCCCATTTTACAAATGAGGAAACTGACAGAGGCTAAATGTCTTGCCCAAGGTCACACAGATAGTGAATGTTGAAAGCAGGATTTGAACCCAGGTCCTTTGACTTCAAAGCTTGTACTCTTTTTTTTTTTTTAACTGTTCCACTCTTTCCCCATGGGATTATTATTTTTTAAAACCAAAGAGGCCTCCAGCTTTCTAGGCTGGAGCAGTCCTATTTGGAGGTGATGGAGTGGGGACAGTGGGTCAATGGAAAGGATCCTTGGAAGGATCATATGGACCATAGGATTCAGAACCTACAGGATCCCTTTGTGGCCATTTAGCTCAACATATTCATTTTTACAGCGTAGAAAACTGGGGCCAAGAATGATTAGGCCACTTGCCCAGGGACACCCTGGGAGTAAATGAAAAAGCTAGGATTTGAACTCAGGACCTCTGCCTCTAAAATATGGATCCCTAGATCCTTCCACAAGCAGTAGAACTGCCTTCTAGGAGGTAAAGGAAGGCCTGAAGCCAGGCTGAGAAGGTGGTACATTGCCAAGTCTCTTCTCTTTAGTTTCCTAGCTCTTTCAAAACGGGAGGAATATGGTAGGGGCAGCTGGGGGAAGGCTCGTGGGAGCAGCCAACAAAATATGGAGGTCAGAGCCAGCCCATCTTCCGAGAAGGGCCCCTTTACCTCTGCTCATTGTGGTAGAGAAGCCTGAGCCGATGCTGTTGTGCAGCTTGGGAGCCTCAGGTGCTCCCTCCCCATGTGCCTTTTGATGGAGCTCCCTCCTTCTCCAGAAGCACCCTCCCTTGTTTTCTGCAACAATCCGTGCCTCACAGAGGAGCTCCCTCCTGCCCCAGTTTTGCCTCTAGCTCCAGGCCACTCCAGCCACAGTTGGACAGTTCTCGGTGCTGAGGCTCAGGATAGAATGTTTACTGATTTGGCCTGAGAAGGGGAGCCTAGAAAGGAACCCAGGTGAGGCTGGGAGATGGAGGCGCTATTGGCAGGCAAAACCTGACTCTAACTCTGTGGAATTTCCCAAAGAAGTCCGATTGGAAAGGGGCAAAGCAGAAGAGGAAGGCAGCTTTGTCGAGTGCCCAGCTTGGATCTGGGAGGCATTGAAATTCAGAGGCCGAAGTCCCGAGACAAAGATCATAATGAGACAGGAAGGTGGCATAGGAAGGAACCCATTTGCATGACAATGAGCAGAGCCCAGAATAGAAAACTGGAGGGATGCAAGGGTGAGGTTGGCAGCTGGGCTTGTTTCTGTCTCAGTAGACCACCAGGTCTATACAAAAGGAGACAGGAGAAGGAGGAGTGGTGGAGAAATGCAGTGCACGGTCTGGGGAGAGAGCCGATGGGTTAGGGCAGGATGAGATCTAAGGAGTGTTTAAACACATACTAGCTATAGCCTCTGAACTGGCCAGGCCAGACTTTGGCCTCTCCTCCCCTCCCCTCCCCTCCCTCCTCTTCTTATCTTTGAGAGGTGAGATTTGTACTTGTTTTCTAGTTTCCCTCTCTCTCTTCTCCTTTGCTCGGGAACTGGCAAGAAGAGCAGGATGGCCATGACCCAGTGGGAGCTGTATGATGCCATCGTGGTTGGGGCTGGCATTCAAGGCTGCTTCACTACCTATCACTTCACCAAAAATAAGAGAAAAGTTCTTCTTCTGGAGCAGGTAATGTCTGCCCCCTCTGCTCAGGGATGTGTTGGAGATAGCTCATGTAGCCACAGGAGAGCTGATGGTCACATTTTCAGTGTAAGCGTTTATACCTCGGGAATCAGCAAATGTCAGAAATTTGGAATGGGTTTATTGTTTTTTTGATTGTCTAGACCAGGAGTGGGAAACCTTTCCATGTTGGAAGGCCGCATTAATGTTTAGCTGTAAACAAATCAAATAAAAATATAAAAGATGAACAAAAATGTATTAATAAAAATAAAAGGATTTGTTTTGTAAAATTTGGATTCAGTCAAAAGGCCACACTTAAGGACCTAGAAGGCCACATGAAGGTTCCTCGTCCCTGGTCTACACTTTAGAAAGTGGTGGAGAAAATGTTTGTATTGTAGATTCAGCTTAAAAGTGTGTCCTGTGATCATTCCACCCCAGAACTGCTTATTAAACATTTGTTGTTCAGTCACGTGACTCTGTGTGCCATGTACTTTGTCTATGGCCAAAGTTTTCTTGGCAAAGATACTGGAGTGGTTTGCCATTTCCTTTCCCAATGTGTCCTTATTTTACAGATGAGGAACTAAGACAAATAAGGGTTAAGTGACACACACCTAGTAAGTGTCTGAGGTCGAATTTGAACTCATATCTTCCTGACTCCAGGTCCAATGTGCTAACCACTGCACCACCTAGCTGCCCTAACCATTACCTAGGTACCAAGCCTAATCCTAAGCAATTTTCCCTTCCTGGGAGGAAATCAGGAGACCAGGTCATGTGACCCACTGGGGAGATTAAAAGACTAGAACTGGAAGGATTCTTAGAGGGCATCTAGATATGAAAGAGTGACTGGCTTTGGAGTCAGAGGACCTGAGTTCAAATCCTGACTGCCACTTCTTACCTCTGTGACCTTGGGCAAGTTATTTCCCCTGTCTGGTCCTTAGTTTCCTTCTTTGTAAAATGAGGCAGATGAATTAGACGACTGTAAAAATACTTTCCAGTTCTAAATCTATGCTTTCATGAACCTCCTGGATTTTAAAGACAAAGAAATTGAAGCCCAGAGAAGGAAAGGATTAGGAGATAGAGTCAAGATTCAGGTGAGTTCACTGACTCCAATCAACATTCTTTCCACTCTAGGGTTCTTTCTCTCACGTAGATGACAGGGGTAATAGGTCAGCAAAGTAGGACTATAGCATCTGGAACACATGGGCCTGAACTATGATTCAAAGTAAGTAATAATGGTCGATAGCTCATGTGCTCAGTGTCTATTTTATGTAACCTCATATGTAAAATGGTGGGCAGGAGGTAGAATGTGATGGGACTGACTGATGTCTGAAGGCCCTTCCCCTTCAGCTCTAAATCCTGCAATCCTATGAACCTGCACAAAGTCCTTGCTCATCTGTAACCCCAGTATTTTCCCCCTAATTCTTGACTCTAAGCTTTGCCCTTTGCTATCTTCCATGCTTGGGTCAGATTGGACCCGGCTCAGCTCAGTTTGATTGGGACCAACTTTGACTCAGGACACACCTTCTCTGGAGGTGGGGAGTCTTTCTCAAGAAGACTTTGTACACTACTGGGGAGATGCCTTGGCATAGCTGCCACATCTCAGGCTGGTGAAGTTGCCTATGTCCCTGCCAGCTTTTGGTGGTAAATTCTTATCCCCTTGTTGACAACCCCCAAGCAAAAAAAAAAATAGAAAGAAAAGAACTCCTCTCTGGGTTCCTCTCCTTAAAGGGCAAGAGAAAAAAGTCTGTGTGGTGAGCACAGTGGACATGCCTCAATGTTGGGGAGACTCTATCTGTAGCCTACCTGTCCTTTCTAGGACCTACCACCTCTAGTAACTTCATGGCTTCTTAGCACTCTCATTTTCTTGTCACCATTAAGGACTCATTGGAGATTTACTTATTTTCATAAAGAGGTTTAGTGATTGGAAACTCTTATTTCATTACTCTTCTCGGTCTTCTCAAAGCCTGAGGGTTTTTACTTTTCTGAGAAAAGAGATAGGGGAAAGAGGGGAAAGAGGTAGTCTCATCCTACTATCCTGCGGTTCATGTAGCCCCATCAAATGGAGAAATATTGATGAGTGAATCACTCAATTGATGCATGAGCATTTATTAAACACATACTATATGCCAGGTATCATGCTACATGCTGGGGTTACAAAGAGACAAAAAATAAAAAGTTTCTGCCCTCAAGAAGCTTACATTTTATCAAGGAAAACAGTGTGTGTGTGTGTATATATATATATATATATATTTATATGCAAAACATACACTCATAGATTCTAGTAAAGTGGGATCTGAACCCAGGTCTTCCTGACTTTAAATCCATATTCATACCATCCGTATTGAACTCAAGATGTTTTGACTTGATCTGAAATGATTTTTGGAGGTCCTTTAAGACCCAACTCAAGTACTACCTTCCACAAGGTCTTTTCACATCCGTCCAGCTGCTAGTGCCTTCCCATCCAAAGTTACTTCGTGTCTGTTTTGTATATGTCTTTCATATACATACATACTTGCATACATGGTTATATATATGTATTTGTGTATGTCTCTGGCCCAGGCCAGTGTGCCATGAGGGGCCAGGCCAGGCTCACTTCTCTCCTAGCTCCGCCATTTTCTCTGATCTCCACCTCCTCACCATCAACCTTTCTCCAAATTCTCCCCCCTCCTTTCCATCTCCCTTTGTTGTACTGTCTTCCCCCATTGGAACAGAAACTCCTTAAGGCCAATGACTATTTTGTTTGCTTAAATTTGTATCCTCAGTGCTTTGAAAGGTGTCAGGCACAGAGTAAGCACTCCAAAAGTGTTTTACCTGTTTACAAGAGACCTTTCCTGATTTCCCTTATTCTTCTTGCTCCTTCTGAGGTTATTTTGTGTGTATACATATATGTATGTGTACATATATGTATGCGCATATGTGTATATGTGTGTATTTGTGTCTATATATGTATATGTGCATTGTATCTATGTATATAGATACATATGCACACATAGAAAAAGAGACATACACACATATACAAGGTGTCCCAAAACTCTTAGTACAATTTTAAGGTATATATACATGTGTACATATGTATATATATTCACAAACATACATGTGTGCAGATAATGGAAGAAACTACAAGTTACTTATATATAGTAGTTACTATAAGTAACCATATCTTTATCTATCTAAAGGAGAAGAAATGTATATTGATAAGTAACACTCTCATAGAGTTACTTATCTATATACATGTTTTCTCAACTATGTAAGTATATATTATAAAGTTATACATAACATATATTATTATGTATAGTATATATTTTATAGTTTATATACATGCATACATGTATGTATATGTATGTACACACACACATATATATATCTGTATATATGTATATATGGCAGTTAAGTGGTGCAGCAGACAGAGCACCAGGCTTGGAGTCAGAAAGACCTGAGTTCAAATCTGGCCTCAGACACTTACTAGCTGTATGACCCTGGGCAAGTCACTTAACCTTGTTTGCCTCAGTTTCTTCATCTGTCAAATGAGCTGAAGATGGAAATGGCAAACCACTTCAGTATCTTTGCCAAGAAAACCCCAAATGGGGTCACAAAGAGCCAGACACAACTTAATGACCAACAACAGCATATATAGGGAAATAACACACACACACACACATATACACACAGGAAAAATGTGTGTGTGCTTATCTATATGCATGTTCCCTCCTAGTAGAATGTAAACTCCTTGAGGGCAAGGATAGCTTTGTTTTTCTCTTTATATGCAGTTGCCCAGCACAGTGTCTGGCAAGTAGTAAGTGCTTAATTAATCCTTGTTAAATCAGGGTGAATTGATCTCATGTGGTTTTCTCCATGCACTAGGGAGCTTTAACTGTGTAGGTTGGGAATGGGGTTGAGGATGATGAGGGCAGATGCCTGAAAGCAAAACCTACAATGAAATCAGAATCGTCCATCTTGAATCCTGGTTTAAGAAATTAGCATCCTACTGCAAGGTGTTGGTGATAATAATGAACGTTTTTGTCTGCCTGTTTGTTCATGGACCAGACCTGGAATTTCATCAGTTTCAGAAGCCCCCATGAGGAGCTTCCTCTACCAATGTGGACAGACACCTGCTCATCAATGTAAAGCCTTAGGGAGTTGCTGGGGCAGTGAGAGATGAAGTGATTGGTCCATCCTCACAACCAGTACATATTAGAGGCACAGTTTGCATTCAAGGCTCCCTGATTCTGAGGCCAGTTCTCTATTCACTACACCAGCCCTGCCTCTTAACATCTGGTGAGAACTTTACAGACACCTCATTGAAGCCCCACAACAACCCCATGAAGCAGGCAGTGCAGTTATTATTGTCCCCATTTCACAGGTGAGAAACTGAAACTCAGAGACTTTTCCAAGGTCACAGAGGGCAGGATTCGAACTCAGTTCCAACACTGTTCCACATCACCTCTCAACAAAGGTGGAAAGGTTTCCCTATTTCCTTGAGTTTCTCCTCAGAATGACCGGGTACTGGCAGATGCTAGGCAATCTTGCCCAACTCTAGATATCTACCAAGAACTTCAGTCAACCTCTCCCCCACCTTCCCCAAACCCACTCTGCTAGCCTAGGGGATCTGCTAAGCATGATGTTGGGACTGGTACAATGCTGGATTTGGAATCAGAGCACCTGGGTTCGAATTTGGACTCTGACACTTACTACCTTAGGAATTTAGCCATCTCTTCACTTCCATTGACCTCAGTTTCCTCACCTGTTTTAAAAGGAGGGGGTTGGACTGGATGGCCTCTGGGGTCCCTTCCAGCTCTACCTAGTATCCCAACACCCCTGTGAGTCCACACACACTAACAAATCCCTCCCGGTCAGAAGACCCTAATGCTAGGGAGACCCTGCCACCCCCAGATCCAGTGAACCTGTATAACTTTGTCCCAGACTCATTCTCCAGCTGGGCCCATATTTGGTAACACTCTTCCATCATCTTGGTGTAGAAGTCTTGAGGATAGATCCGGCGGATGATCCGGCTCTGCCCATGGGAGCTTCCCCGGGAATGAGGGAGAAAAAACTGGGAATCAGTGGAGAGAGACAAAGAGAGAAAAGCAATTGTTACCATCAGCTGCTCCTTTCCCTAGAGAGTACATGTCTCCACTCTCTAGGCTTCTAGGAAGGACTATCCCACTCAAATGAGAATCCCTTTCCCATTCTTCAAATTCTTTGCACCCTCTCTCTGGGTAGCCCATTACTATATTTAATTACATTTACTCTGAGGATAGAAGTTTCTCATTTGTACCACCCTAGGCTCCAGCCTGTTACAGTTTGCCCTTTTCCTTTCTGATAACACTTTCACTGTGTCATCTAACCTTCATTTTCTCCTGCTGCCTTTTTTTTTTTGCTTCCTCCCCCACCCCATCTCTTTGTCTCATCCTGTTTGGGTTCAAACATGAGCTTCAGGGAACACACTTAAGGTCTTGGCAAAGGATGTGAGAAATTCTTTGGAGACTAGAGGCATGTGGAAGTCAGGACCAAGGACAGAGAACAGTGGGGGTGGGGGTGGGGTCCCTTCCTATGTCTGTTGCTGCTCTCCAGCCACAAACTCCATATTCTCTTGTCTCCTTGCTTTCCAATTCCAGTGGTAATGTTAGTGTTCAAGCCCCACTGTCCATAATCCAGAATTCTCTCTCGCAAGGGTTAATCAATCAACAAGGACTTTGTGTGTGTGTGTGTGTGTGTGTGTGTGTGTGTGTGTGTGTGTGTGT